AACCGTCATTTCACATCCGGAAAGAATTAAGTTTTCGCCTCGTAAACAGCTTTTACGAATGCGAAAGCTTTGTGAATGTCATGTCGTCGCTAGATGGAAAGTCTGGAAGAAAGATGTATAAAGTGAAGTTTTCGCGGCGACCTTAATTGATAAAAGACTCTCGGGCAACAAGCCACGTCTGGTGGATGAATGAACCATTTCTTCCTCCAACGTTACGAGAGCCATCTCTGCTCTCATCCTCAGGGTAGCTGCGAAACGATAGTGATCCTATGTAGCGCGCTCGCCGATGGGAACTGGCAGAAAGATGTTCAAGCGACTGAGTGTCGCCACTCCATATCAATTCAATAAATTAATAAAGCCAAAATTAATAAAATCAATAAATTTGGATTAAATAAGGCATATCAAATATTATGCATCGTGTCCCATAATTATCTTTACAATTTTAACACTTAATAAAAATAATATGAGATATCACAACGTGTTTTTTTGCATATGAAAGAGTAAGTCAGGAAGAATGCGATGGGCAGGGCATGTAGCGCGCATGGATGGGGCAAGAGGTATTGGTTGGGAAGCCTGAGGGGAAGAGACTGCTGGGGAGACCTAGACGTAGATGGGATGATAATCTCGGGCGGGATCTATGGGAGATAGGAGTTGAAAGAATCTGGATTTTGTTGGCCCAGGTCAGGGTCCGATGGAGGGCTTTGGTTAATTCGGTGATGAACCTTCGGATTTCCTAAGCTATCTAGTTCGTCTGTTTTTTCGTTAGCAATATTATAGTAGAGACTAAAGTAATAGTTACAAATATAGTGACGTAACTAGAAATTTCAACACCGCTTATATTAAGAGTCCGCCATTAAACACGATTCTATAACAGTTGCTGTCGTCTCATCATCTCAACCCATCGTAAAGTTATTCTGCGTCTTTGTCTTCCCTGTAAATATTTTCAAAACTCTAACTAATGAAAGAAATACACAATGCAATGTTTCCCATTAAATTACCCGGTCATTAACGCAACCTTTATGTAATCGACAGAAAGATGAAGGAGGTACGAGTTTCAGATTTAAGCTGTTACCCCCCCTCTCCCCGCAACTAATAACACTGTCGCAGTAATCGGAAGTGTTAGTGTTACTTGCATCTGTCTTCACCTAAGTGAATAAGAATACACTGAAGCAGCCATTTTAGGGTTTTCAGAGAACCAATCTTTTGTAACTCGAGACGTAAGCCACGTGGATGACGCGTGAAGGCTTTGTCTGTCCACCGAAGAAAGTGAATGACGATTTCACTGCCTCAAATTCTCATGGTCTTTAAACAAACTAGACGTAAGTGATAATGAAACCGAGAAATGTCACGGTCAGGCGAGGATAAAGTAGATTGTCTTCTGGGATTTTGCGCTGTGGTAGACCAGTGGTATTCAACCTTTTTTGTTCGCGTACTCTCAGACATAATTTCTCTTCAACTTTGTACCCCCAAAATCGCTGGTGTATAATTCAAGTTATACATAGTATATAATCTACATCTAAAATAAAGTAAATAAATTACATTACTGATTTTTCAGTGTTTATCATAAAATAATATATTTTTTTTTAAATTTCACGTACTCCCTAAGATATCTTCGCTTACCCCCGGGGGTACGCGTACCCCAGGTTGAATACCACTGGCTTAGAATGCCATGAACACGCGTATGGCGAAACAAGAGAGAAATTTCTCACGAGGTTAATGAAGCGGACACAGAAATGATCACCAATGACAGATCAAGGTCGCCAAAATACGAAATTTCCAAAGTATTTTTATCTACAGTCACGCAGAAACAAAAACCCAAAAATGCAGGAAGAAGGATTTCTGGCTTTCATAAAATATTTTGCAAAACACGATAGATAATGAAGTTCTCCTATAGAAATCAACTGTATCCTCCGAAAATAGACTTGTGCACCGATTTCACCGCCTTTTAGCCTCTAGACGTCGTTGTGCATGGCACATTTAAATATCTCGTCACCTCATCTTCAGATTCACGGGCAAAAAGTCTCCTGGGAACCAGAAAGACAGTCCACAATATCCCAGGAAACGGACATTTCTCTGACTGAATCTGCAAACGCCTAAGAACGTCTTATCAGGATTCTCAGCTACTGGAATTTGGCCACTGAATCGGAATATGTTTGAAGACTCGGATTCTGCCCTCTGCGAGGTGACCGACAGTAAAACAGAACAGTACCGGTGGCATCCACGAGCAACTGACTGATAAGACAGATAAACCAATGAATCCAATGTTTGATCCCAAAGTGGTCCGTCCTTCTGCAGGCGATGTGGTTGGTACCTTACCCTATGGACCGCACATTGAGGGCGTCAGAATGCGAGGCGATGAGGATGACATTTGAACCTAGGAACGTCGAAGAAAACTGTAAAATCAAAAGCCTCGTAATTTAAACTATTCACCTAATATTCTTATCGTGATGAAACGAAGGGAGGTGAGATGGACAGCGTATGCAGCACGCATAACAGATAAGAGATACATTAAAAGTTTTAGTCACGAAAATTAACTGAAGAGAATATTTAGTTTATATGGGAGTTTAATATCAACGCGGATCTTAGAGGGATAGTTTGGGAGAATCTGTACTAGACTCATTTCAATAAGTGTAGGACACGTGTTGGGTTCTTGTAAATACTACAGGGTGATTCAAAAGGTTAGGGCCAAACTGAAGGAGCGTATAGAGGGACTCGGAGAGAACAACTTTCGAATAGGAATCCATGTCCTCCGAAGTTATCCTGAGTTAGTCGAGGCCATTGAAGGCTGAAATAATCATAATTTGCTATTCTCCTACTACCTTAATTTTGTTTTTTTATATATTCATGTACAAGGATTACATTAGAAATCTTACAAACCAAATTATTTCAGCGGAATGTTATCAGACTTCCCTACCTTCAATGGCCTCAACTGACTCAGGATAACATCGGAGGACATGGATTCCTATTCGAAAGTTGTTCTCAACGATTTATTAATGGATTAATCTGAATACTCACCAGCCGGTCAAAATTACCAAAATTTAAAATTAGTTTTCGGTAAAGTCTGCTTGCTTATATTACTACCGTGTCTAATTCGTTTACTACTGGTTAAGCACACGGAAACGCGAAAAATTAGCGTTTATGAGGTAATAAAAAGCAAATTCCACGATTGAACTGGTTCCCTAAAATATGTTAAGCGCATCTAACATGGTATTGGCTGCGATGTAAAACACGCTCGTTTAACAAATAAGCAAATCTGGTTTCGAGCATAAAGATACGATTACAAAAAAGCATGCTTAAAATCCAGAAATCACATTTATAAACAGTTTAGCCTTTCATTTGCATTTCCTAGACAACTGATTTTTCACTTCTCCTCGCAGTTTGTGTTCCAAACATTTTTTCCTTATCTTATTAAGTTTTGGCAATGCACTTTCTTACTTTATAGCTGCATTAATAACGTTCTGTGTCTCAGTTACTTCCCGAATTCATTTGTTAAATCGTACCTTTGAAATATACTCGGCATCTTCTCCGGTCTGACCACTTTGTCGTCTCCACCTGCCCGATCTGTCCTCCACCTATCACTTGTTTTTGGCCTCTTTGATGCACGAAATCAAGGAGTCAACTAACCCTCCTGCAACTACGTCATGTTGGTACTCCCCAACATCACTCCCCTCCCCACCCTTTACTCGAGTGTTACCAATATCCCCCTACCACCGCCACCACGCACAGTTTACCCTGACCTAGACATTTGTCAATTACACTGTTTTCCTAACAAGAAATGCGAATGGTTTTGATGTCATATACAATAAGAAATTTTCAAATCCTGATATCATTAAGTACTTTGTGTCCCGGAGTAACTTGACCTAACTTTAGAGTAAAAGTGAGTATGCATTTTGTTGTATTATGTCAGTGGTCAAGTGGAGACATCATTTCAGCAATCTCTGTATGACAGTGTGATGCTTCACATATAAACATATGCACTTTTCAGTGTCAGCTTAATGCCCATAAAATCATAAACTGTGTTAATGAAAACTGAAAAATATTGATATAATGAGCTTTTATATGTGAATCCTTTGTAGATTCAGCTTCAACTGTTGAATTATCTGGGACATGACAGCACCAAGTGTGTGGACTGGGGAAAATGGCAATTTACACTTCCTCCCAAAGCTGTAATGATGGCCCATCATATAAAAGAGGGTTTCTCTGGAAGCAAGATATTGTATCCTAAAACATTCCTTGGAAAATCAGATTTGATCATTTTATGTGATGCTGCTTTCACAATTTTGTATTTTTAAATGAGGAAAATATTCCAAGGTTCACTTTGCAAACTTCTGGAAGAATGTTATCAGGGAAAGCTAACAAATATACTGATTTGCAGTTACCAGGGATATACCATAAATTACAATTTTTGCCTGTTAAATAAAGATATTTACTTCATATGAAATTATTTTATTTAAAAACTGAATATTACTCACCACTGGGATATATCTGCCAATGTTGAAGTATCTCCGACGTCCTGTGTTTTGAACCTGGTAAGTCTAGTCTAGTCACTGCAGAAAATCATTTGTTGTCCTTGAGGGTGAAAATCTTGGTACTTATTTCCATCAGTGTCAAAAAACAGTGACTTAAATAAATGTTTAGCATCAAGAGAAATTTTACTTTTGAGCTCTGAAAACCACTCAAATGTTTCAGTGGTGAGCGAAAAGTCATAAACATGTACTGTTCTGCAATATTTTTGCACGAATAATTGGAAATTTCATTTTAGGACTTTGCTTCAACTCTTGGGAGACTCATATTTACATTTCTTAATGGAAGAATTACCTCAGCTACTGGAGGATGTACCACCGGCAATGCAACATATATGAGGTTTACAAATAATACATTTCTGTTGACTATCAAAGGCTTTCTTGAAATCTATAGAGGTGACATATTTTCAAATTGAATTCTACCTATTTTTCAATAAATGATTGAAGTGGAAATACATATCCAACACCACAAGAGAATCCTTTGCAAAAGCCATTTAATATTTTCTCTGTTATTCTGTCAGACTTTATACAATTTTTATTTACAAATAATTACATACGGTATATTTACTCATACAATTGATTACGTAATTTCACAACAAAACATAAATACCATACAACAAAATAGTAACAAGTCTCAAGACTAATCGCAAACTCTCTCCCTTGAGTTACTAACATAAATATAAGTTGAATATGGAGAACAGGGCATGTGTTCAGTTAATAATGTCAGCACAAAGATCCCCTGTAAGCTTGCAAAGAATCTTAAATTTCTGAAGTGTGACTGCAGTCGTACCCTTAGTAAGATTATGACTTTGGTGTAATGGATCCTGAACACACATACAGCATTTTGTGAAGAATCTTTCAGCATGCTTGTTGTTTACGACTCGACACACATACGCATCCATTGCGTCTGGAAGATCTTTCGGATTGAAGGCAAAAAGCTTTCTGCGTACAGGAAGTCCTATTAAGGGACATACTACATTTTTTGAAAAGTCAAATTTGTAATAGTATATGAAAAAAACCATGAAGTAACTGCAATATACGCTGTGAATTATTAATTCTTGGTATTTTTAATTTATTTACATTAAAGCTGCATTCCCATCCTGTAAAAAAAATAAATACCAATTAACAGGTCTACAAAGTGCATAAAAGGGAGAGGTTACTATAGTTTGCAGATCACAGAACCTGCTAGATGATAAGACGGTCTCTGATTTTATACAGTAGAAATAAGAAGTTTACTGAAGCAGTTAACTCTCTACACATTAGTATCTGGGAGGCATCTGGCTTGAATTTCAGCCGAGTTATCAGTTATTCTGAGATTTTTCAAGGTTTCCCTTCTAGAGGAAAATGCCAAAACAGTTCCTTGAAGTAGGCCATGACCAGTTCCTTCAAAATCCTAACCCACCATTCATGGTCACCTTCCAGTCTCATTCAACACCATTAAGTAACCTAAGAATCAAACAGACTACTCAGAGGATGAATTTCATGAAAATTTATTTTCATGCATGCAGTGCAGCACAAGAAAATAACTTTTTTTGTCACTGTTATTCACAGTTTCACCATTACTCATGTTCTGGCACGGACAGACAGTCAGGCTTGTCTTAAATAATGGCAACAAACTGCTGTTGGAACCACTGGCCCTTCACTTACCTGCTATGAGTTTCTCTGGTCCCTTATGAAGTTTATGCAAAACTCGAACTGTAGGGAGACCAAAACCTGAAACTTTTTGGAGGTAGAATATCACAAGCCAAGCAAGAGCATAGTTGGTGATCTTGGACTGCCCAATCAATTGATGAATGTGAGCCCAATGTTTGAGGAATATAATCACAGGCCTCACACGTGGGTCCAATGATAAATAGAACCTGCAAATATGAAAAATATGAAACCAGAGTTAATCCCTCAGCCACTGTTAAACTTATAAAGTTTAGGCAGTATGCACAGTAAAACAAAGAATCAGTTTAAAAATGTTGACTATTATTGGCATACAACTAGACTCTTGGAAATATACCCTGGCTGAGACAATATGATAATTATAAGCAATCAACTACAGTAAGGATGGCCAAATATTCACTCTTGTTCACATATATGGCTGATAGGCAGATTCACACTGAGGTCTGCAGGAGGTAGAACAGAAAGACATAAGGAATTTTACAAATTTGTGAAGCAAAATCCATGTTCCTGTGTTAAAATTCAGTGTTACACACTCAATCTGAGCCTCTTGTGGCAGGGATATGACAACTGTGGTCATCTGGGCTGTAATGCTGTGTGCTCTTGTAGGTGGTTACAGACATTTCAGAGGAAAATAGTGTCAGGGTGACAACCATTTACAAGACCATACAGCATCACATCCTACAAGACAACTGGCAATTCAGACACTCTCTACCATGTGTGTAAGGCGGAAAAAGGGATAACATTACACACTTGAATGCTGCCACGTAGGTAGCGTATTCATGCTCTGAAACATAAACACAGCTGTATAAGCCCAAACCGAAAAAGACAGCCGCATGAACAAGCACTACTCATCTCCTCGTCCACAAAATTTCACTCACGTCGCTGCAAGCAACAAAAACCTAGCAGATGACGGTGGAATACTTCTGAACATGTTGAGAATACGTTGATTCTCTGGCCTTGAATTTCTGTGACTTGTGACCAAAAATAAAGGAACCTTTCTGAGGAGAGCAGTTTGCCAGAGAAAATATATGGCAAGCAGAAGAGACAAGATAAATATCCTGACAAAATCTGTCGCCTTCCATGAGTATGGGATCAATGTTAAACACATGGGCAAGGACTACATTAAATAGTTCTTAATCTGCTTTGATACCAATAAAAAATTACTAACAAACTGCCAATTTTGCCACTATTTTCTAAAAACAGTACTTTCTACACTTAGGGGGTCATTAATATATCACGGCAGCATTTTTACATATTTTAACCCTATCCAAAACACATAAAATTACAAGATTTATAAAGATGTATAAACTAAACTCCCTCTCCCTCAGCTGCATAAGAATTCTTCCAAGCACTTAAAAACACTCCCACTAAATTGTACAGAATCACTTAAAAATTATTTACATACCTCCTCAGTTCAGAAATGAACAATTTAAATGTAATCTAACTAAATATTTACAGTCTATATATAACCATTAATCCAATTAATTTCATTACATATTTAGAAAATTTGGGAAAAACATCATACTTAATAAGCATGGTATTTTCACATCCAAGTCCATGAGAAAAAGCCACATCACACTGCGTTTCAATCGGCTTGTAAAAAAACTTTACAATGGGTGTGCGAGCATTTCGAATTTCTTGCACATTGCAACACTCTGGATGATTTATCAATCTGTTTCCTGTAGATGATACTATCAGCTCTTGAATAGCTGATTCTTGGTTCTGTTTTCCACCATACATGTCACCTGCAATAATAAATGACTGTTCAATGTAATTTACATAAAAATGAGATAAGAATGAATAGGATAAGTATTTTCTAAGAGAAGTCTTCAAAATGAAAGAAATAAACCCACACTGCCGGATGGTTTGATGCTCTCTGTTTATGTGCTATGTTCTACTAAACGATGACAGGAATGTTAATCTAAAGCATAACTTGCTGTAATTTTTCTTTATTTCTCACACATAATCATCCTTGTATACACAAGCTTGTGAAATGTGCATCTTTAAAAAATTACCCAAGTTATGAAATTATTTTCTGCTTCCTTGAAAACTGTAAATCTACACACGATCCATCTTCTATATATGAAACAAGTTAAGAAAAGTATACAAAGAGTAACAATTCTGGCATGTTTGCTCAGTTATAAACTGAAGATTTTCAATTTGTGAATGCTAACTTACGATGCACTGTTATAAAGAGCATAAAACAAGAAAATTGGTACTGCCAATATAAAATCTTATAAAATCAGTTCAATAATTCTCAAGTTATGAGATGACACAACATAAAAATCCACTTTGTTCAATTACTTTCGAAACAATCAGACATGAAAAAAATGTACTCACGTGTCTCATTTTTGTATACTTCTGTTCAAAACATTTTGCGCTCCAGCAATTTCTTATTAAGTTAAGCTTGAGATACATGTAGGAAGATTTGGATTTTCATATAAAGAGTCTGTTATTGTCATCCAATTTTAATCAGAATTAGAATGTGTTAACAAACTAGTTAAACTCCCCAATATCAAATTTCATGAATATCAATTCAAGAGTTCTCACAGTTTCTCTGCAGACAGACAAATATAGAAAATTTAACAGGAGCATGTTTCCAACTTGACATAAAAGAATTATTTATTACCTGTATCAAGAAATACATCCAGATCACTATCATGGAGAGCAAGGCCTGACACGCGTGAGCCAAAGGGAATGGCTTTGCACCCTGGGAAGATTTCAGTACATGATTCTTCCAGAAACAAGCACACCTGCTCATGTTTCTCTGGATCTGACAGGGAACTAGATGCTGTGCACAAAGCATTCAGCTTCTCTTCAACTCTCTGTGGGGAGGTAAATGTTGACACCAAACTTTCATGTACTGAGACAGTTGGCTCAGGAACTGTAAAAAATATAACAATTATGATATTCCATTTATACCATGGAAGTTCAATATGATCATTTATATTAAACATTCTGGTCCACTATTAATAAGACATTAGTAAAGGTGAAAAATCAAATAAATTTTCTCAGGCCATTCATACTTCCAAGGTCCTTTCTGATCACCAATATGAACAGAGGACAGTCACTGAAAATTTATTTCTTTGTGAAGATTTCTGTCTTCTGGGTTGTTGCACCATGTAGTATGGTAGATCTACCATACTACACGGTGCAACAACCCAGAAGACAGAAATCTTCACAAAGAAATAAATTTTCAGTGACTGTCCTCTGTTCATATTGGTGATCAGAAAGGACCTTGGAAGTATGAATGGCCTGAGAAATTATCTCTTTGTGTTTACCACAGTATCACACACGTCAGAAACTTGAATTCCATACCTAAGTTTAGTCAAAAATTATAACGAGAGATGTTTTGTTGTGTGGGAAGATGATAATATAATAGATCAAGAAATCTAACTCATGATAGGGTCCAGTGACAGAATCTTGTGAATATGGTAATAGACCATAAGTACAGGAAATTTGGTTTGCTGAATGTCCATTAACTTCAAAAGAAAGAATCTGATCCAAGAACTTAGTTTAGTTATTTAAGTACAAGATTATACTTCCAATGCGCATTCTTCAGCTATCTTCTTGGTACTACATCCTGATTTTAGTCTTGGTCTCTGGAATTGCAGAAGTTTTCTAGATCCTCATTCAGAGCAGCAGGATAGCTCCCTGGATGGGTTATCTGACCATTGCAATGCTTCTACAATCACAGAATATAAAAATGTGCAGACATACATCCATGACCCCAGTGACTCAACAACCCAAGATCTTGTGCATCTTAAACTGTATTGGCAACAAGTATCAGGAATGCAGCATTTTAACTAATTGTCTTAAAATTATTTTTGATGAATAATTTCACAGACACATGGAAAGTTTCAGTCATACAAAATAATTGAGACAATATTTAATTTTTTACGTTTATAGAATACAGATAGGATTGTGTAATAGACTTTTACATAATTACTGGCATTTATGTACTGCTTTAAGTTAAAATGATGCAAGAAACATGGCTACATTAGTTTACACGTTCTAGTTTTGTAAGGTGGACATTGGAGGATTACTATGATAAAAAAATTCCTGCATTTATCAAAAGACATGTTTGTCTATTTCTTTAAATTCCATTACTCATAACATTGGAGTTCAGTGACACCGGTGCCCATCATATTCACACTGGTGGACTCTTTTTGAAAAATTAAAATAAAGATGTTATTGTCTCAAGAAAACAGCAGCCAACACCATATTTTGGATCCGGTCCTTGTTCAACAGATAAACGCCTTATACATTTGAGAATTATACAAGATTCAGCACTTCCACAGCAACTGAATGCAATGAAGTCTTCATGGGTGGTCAGGCATATAAGTATGGAGTCACAAACCAGTATTTCAGACATTGTATCTTCCTGCAACATCACAGTTAATGACAACCCTAATGATGAAAGCACAATCTCTAATACATTGGAATGTAATTCCATACTTACATGGCTTATCACTAAAGAAGACGTCATTATATTCTAAATTAATTATTGTATTTGGTACTGATAATTTTCTTATATTGTTCTTTGAGAAAACAGTGTTGAATTAGTAACACGAGTTTCCACTTCACAATGAGTATCTCATCTGTTTTGTTAGAGTGATTGTCACAGAAGCCAAAATTTCTTCCTTCCATAAGTCTTTGGAATGTGCCTGGCACACACTCTCCGTTGCAATGAACCGGAGAATACCGTGCCAATGCCAGGCGCACTGCCATCAGACGCATGCACGATGGTGCGAATTTTAAAAATATATTAGAATTTTGAGCAATTTCTTTGCACCCTTGCACAGCGTATCAGCAGCTGAAATTTTGTGTACAATCATTACTAGATGGGCTCTGTAGACGAGCAAAATTTCAGGTGAGGTTTCGACATGACCAACAAGACCATTCCCTTGTGAGTGCATGTAACAATCCAAAATGAAACATAAAGCGCACTGTATGGAAGCACTTTATTGTAATTTTCTGTTGTCAAAACAGTAATACTAGAATGCAGAAGGGTTTAACAGTGAAGATGATTCACATAACCAGTTACAAAAGCAGGATCTCTACCATTAATAGGTGAAAACGTAATATGTGGAAGGCAGCTTGCTGTTTAAAATTAAATGGAAAACTGATAACACAGTCCTTCAAAAGGGTTTGCCATTTTGAACTTTCTAGATTCTATTTCTGATATCTTAAAAATAAGAAGTGTGGGCATAATCCAACAGAAATGTAAAGGTAATAACTCAGGTCGAAGGAATATGCAGCAGTAAAGCGTATTACAACACTTTCTTCAGTATAAAAGATGAGATGTGTGAACCACTTCTTCCGGAAGTATTTCATGCGTGTGTTACATCTGCAAAGTTTTTATAATTATATGCAGTTTTGACTGTTATTGTAACCGATCGTTTCCACAGACTGGTAGATCACAGCGTCTGCTACGATGCTGCTGGTAGGGATTGTTGGGTTTTCGGGATCTCTCAAGGATATTTGCTTCGCTTTCCTGTTGTACTAGCGATTTATGTGTGAGAATAAAGAGTTGGTTGGTTGTTGACATGCGTGTTCTTCAGTTATCATTCCCCAACAACAAGTACTGATGAAAGAGGATGGAATCTTTGCCCCAAAAGGAAATGTAACATCAACTTCCACTTGGCGTGGGTCCAAGATCAGTCCCACAAAAACATGACAATGAGTGGATAATATGACCTAGCATATAAAAGTTGGATTCATTACAAGTACAGAATTATGATAAACCAATAAAGGGATTGATGAGCGGTTACATTTTCTTTCTGTTGATATTCATTGTTAAGAGAATAGTAATGAAATAGCAGTTTGACCAGAACACAAAAAGTGTAAACATAAATAATAATAAATTTGGTGAAACAGATCAGAAAGAAGTTTGTTGTTAAAGTAAGTGGAGGTCAGTCTTCAAAAATCAGAACATAGTCAGGAAGACCACATACACATAGACGAGTCAAATAGAGTAAGTTGTCATCTTTGCAACAGAAATTTACCTAGCATCAACAGCGTAGAAGTACATACACAAGGTCATAGACATGAAGAAGCGTAGATAAAGGACACTCTGTTAGAAGGCCCTGAAGAAAGATAGCTGTTAGGAAAGAATAGCGGAGAAACAGTGGATCAAACTGGAAAGGTTCAGGAAGAATTGCTTGTCACAGTAAATTCATCTGTTCCTTCCAGTATCCAAATGTGTGAGAAGACAATCACTGGAGTAGACGTACAAGGGCAGCCTGAGTTACGGGGTGCATCCTTTGAAATGCAGCA